CTCAAATCATATTCTTTTAGTTTTGGGAACAAAAAGAAGTCTGAAGGGGCAACATTAGGGTTGTAGGGTGGATGTTGTAAGGTTTCCCAACAAAATTCTTTGCATAACAGTCCTTGCTACCTTCAAAGAATGAGTGATGGAAAAAACAAAATTCCTCGGCACAACTTTCCTGTTTTGTTTTTTTCCCTACCAGTGCAGTTTTCAATTTTTAAAAATGTTTCCCATCCCCCAATTACATAAGCTTCACGTCCCATTAAACCTGGATTTTCTTCTGGTAAAACATAAATGTAACTCAAGTTGTTGTTGTTGTTAAGTACCGTGGAGTCGGTTCCAACTCATAGTGACCCTGCACAGGGTTTCTGAGGCTGCAAATCTTTACGGGAGCAGAAAGCCTCATCTTTCTCCCACGGAACCACTGGTAGTTCTGAACTGCGGACCTTGAGGTTAGCAGCTCAATTCGTAACCACTACACTACCAAGTTACTCCTGCTCAAAACCTTCAAAGGTTTCTTATAGTTTACAAAATAAAATCTTTTGCGTTTTTGAAATCTTTCATAATCTGACCTCGATCTTACTTTTTGATTGAACCATCTCACCTTTTTTATTTCCTCTTTGTTCAAATATTGAACTTCTTTTTCCAAATATTCTCTATCTTCATGCATTTGTATATGTTGATCCTTTTGTGTACAATGTCTTGTTGATTTTTAGTGAATTTTTAAGTATCCTCTAAGCCTCCCTGAAGCAAACAGCTTCTAGGGTTATTTTTTAGCTTCATTTTACACAAGGTATTTGTGTGCTTATTGAATGTTGTATTCCAACTGTTTACTTGTAAGCTTGTCTTTTGCTCTGGCTAGTGCTTGCCAATGGCTGAGGCCCTCTTTTCATCATTGTATGTAGCCTCAAGACCTAACGAATTGTCACTAGTTAGGAAATTGGTGTTCACAAACATATATATATATATTTTAAGTTAAAAACTCTTTAAGCAAGTTAAATAGTAAGAGAACCTGGATAGTTTTGTAGAACGTTTGAATAAATCAGTGCCATTAAAAAAAAAAAAAAAGGTAATTTATTGGCTTTTGGTAAAATTTTACATAGCAGTTTAGGTTCCCATTCAACAGTTTCTTACTCCAATTGATCAGTGTCATTGCTTACATTCTTTACAAGGGCTGAACATTCTCATTATTTTCGTTCTGGTTCTGTTTCCATTGAATCCAGTTTTCTTGTCCCCTTATATTCTTATCTTTGTTTTAAAGTAACTGTTTACCAGTTGGTTTCATTTAGGTGATTTTTTTTAAAGGGAGTTTTTGTATTCATAATTTGAGCCTATTTGTTATTTAGCTACAAGGTAACTTCAGGGGTTAGTTTCAATTCAAGGTTTGATATTATCTCAGAGTAAGTGTGGAGGGTACTCTAGTCTCAACCAGTCCCGTAGGTTGTGTGTGTGTTTAAAAAAAAAAAAAAAATTGGAGTCTGTTCCACATTTCTCATTCTATCAGGATTCAGCGACTGTAGCCAGCTTAATGAATATTAAAATGTTTTTAAACCACTTATCTACATGTAAGTTGGAACAAATTCTGCAAGCCCAAAAGAATCAGCTCCTTGGTTTATGATTTGCAAACTTCCTACATGATAAACAAAAAACCCAAACCCACTGTATCCAGTGCATTACAACTTATAGAGACCATACAGGGCAGAGTAGAACTGTTCCATAGTGATTCTGCTTAATGCACTGAGCCACCAGGGTTTCTTCCTGAATGGTACCAAAAACCCACTGCCATCCAGTCATTTCTGACTTACAGTGACCCTATTCATCAGGCAGCTACCTGTACAACTGGTTGGAAGAGATCCATATTTGTACCCATTTCAAAGAGAACAGACTGTGGAAACCATTGGACAATATAATTTATGTTACATGGAAGTAAAATTTTGCTAAAGGTATTTCAAAATCAGCTGCAACAGTACATTGACAGGGAACTGCCAGAGGGTCAAGCCAGATTCAGATAAGGAAGTGGAATGTGGGATATCATTGCTGAGATCAGGTGGATCTTTGCTGAAAGCAGAGAATACCAGAAAGATGTTTATTTGTGCTTTATTGACTATGCAAAGGCTTTCGACTGTGTGGATCATGACAAGCTATGGACAACATTGTGGAGAATGAGTATTCTGGAGTACTTAGTGTGCTCATGAGGAACCTGTACATTAAGACCAAGAGGCAGTTGTTCGAACAGAACAAGGTGACACTGAATGGTTTAAAATTAAGAAAGATGAGTGCAAGGGTTATGGTCTTTCACCATACTTACCCAATCTGTATACTGAGCAAATAATCTGAGAAACTGTATTATGTGAAGAAGAACAGGTCATCAGGATTGGAGGAAGACTCATTAACAACCTGTGATATGCAGATGATACAACCTTGCTTGCTGAAAGCTAAAATGACTTAAAATACTTACTGATGAAGATCAAAGGCCACAGCCTTTAGTGTGGGTTGCACCTCAATGTAAAGAAAACAAAAATCCTAGACCAATAAATAACATCATGATAAATGGAAAAAAGATTGAATTTGTCAAAGACTCCATTTTGCTTGGATCCAGCCCTGGTAGTGCAGTGGATTATGAGCTTGGCTGCAATCCGCTAAATCAGTAGTTCAAATGTCACTCCATGAGAGAAAGATGAGGCTTTCTGCTTCTATAAAGAATTAAAGCTCCAGTAACCCTATACAGGGTGTCTATGAGTCGGAACTGACTTGGTGGCACTGCCCCTTGGACCCCGTATCAACATTCATTGAGGAAGCAGTCAAGAAGTCAAGTGATGCATTGCATTAGGCAAATCTGCTTCTCAAGACGTCTTTAAAGTGTTCAAGAGTAAATATGTCAGTTTGAGGACTAAGCTGTGCCTGACCAAGCCATGGTTATTTTCAATAGCTTTCCATGTTATGTGAAACTTGGATGGTGAATAAGGAAGACTATAAAAGAATTGATGCATTTGAGTTATGGTGATGGGGAAGAATATTAAAAGTACCATGGGCTGCCAGAAGAACGAATAGATTTGTGTTAGAAAAAATACAGTCAGAATGTTCCTTATAAGCCAGGATGACAAGATGCTCATACTTCAGACATATCAGGAAGGACCAGTTGCTGGAGAACATCAGGTTAGGTAAAGTGGCAGGTCAATGAAAAAGAGGAAGACCCCCAAGGAGATGGATTTGGCACAATGGCAGCAGCAATGGGCTCAAGTGTAACTTGATTGTGAGGATGGCGTAGTACTGGGCAGTGTTTCGTCTCACAGTGTTCCCTATGAGTCAGAGCGTAGTGGTTACCAATGGGACTGCTAACCTCAAGGTTGGCAGTTCGAAACTACCAGCCGTTGGGCCGGAGAAAGATGAGGCTTTCTGCTCCCATAAAGGTTTATAGCCTCGGAAACCATATACAGGGTCGCTATGAGTTGGAAGTGACTCCATGGTACTTAACAGTTCTGGAGTCCTGGTGTGGCGCTGTGGGTTAATGCATCAGACTGCAAAGTTGTTTGAATTGTAAGGTTGGTGGTTCAAGCTCACCAACTCTCCTTGGAAACCCTATACAGGGTGGCTATGGGTTGGAATCGACTTGACGGCACTTAACAACAAAACAACAATTTGAGACTGGGAGCAGTTTCTTTGTCCCTTGGAGGAGCTGGTGGGCTTTGAACCTCCAACCTTGCAGTTAGCAGCCCAACATTAATGCCACAGTGCCACCAGGCTCCAAATGATAGGAAACAGCAAATTGGGAATAAAGGGTTGCCTCAGTGGAACTAATTTTGAATACATTATTCAAACAGCACCATTCAAAAGCAAGTGTGTGTGGAACTCACTCAACCTTTTGTCCCACCACCCCCTCAGCTGTAGTCATGAAATCTTTAAGCAAGTGCATGGAATACCTGAACAGTATTTGAACTGAACTTAAAATACTGAGGTCAAAGAACTGAAGGTACAGAGGAATCTCCAAAATTGACAAGTGTTATGGAGGAATAATTGAGGATGCAGGGTAGAAGGGTGGTAGAAGCGGGCACAAGGCTTAATTTCATAGCTCTGAAGCTGAATTCACTTTGCTTCTCTAAACCCGTGTCCTTATTTATCGTCAAAAGGTGATAATAACAACTTCCCTCATAATGAGGGTAATGACAAAACAACAGCCCTGGTCGTGTAGTAGGTTAAGCATTGCGCTGCTAACTGCAAGGTGAGCAATTGGAACCCAGCAGCCGCTCCTCTGGAGGAAGATGAGGCTTTCTGCTTCCATAAAGATTTACAGCCTTGGATTTACCCTATTCACTGAGTCGGAACCGACTAGATTACACACAACCACTATCACCACCAATGCTGCCTGAAACCCGCCTCCGCTGCCTTTTAGAATCACAGCGTTTACCTCCTCATTGGAGGAAAAGGCAGGGGACTTAATTCCATGTTTGCCCAGAGGAGGGGGTGACAACGTTTCTAGCCCCACTCAAAATGGAGCCAAGAAACCGCGTCATCTAAGATGGCGGCCACTCTGCTTCTCTATTCAAGGGCTTCAGCTTTCATTGGGTGCCTTGAGGCTTCAAGTTAGTCCAAAGGTAGCTGAGCCCCGCCTCCCTTTCTCAAGGTGGCGCTCCGCCCCTGAGATGGTTGCTCTTCCTTGCTCAGCCTGTGCCATGGTAACCGCGAGTGCCCAGCCCTCCTAAGATGGCGGCTGAGCTTGCCCCCCTCCCCCCTGTGGCAGCTGCGCCACTCTCAATATGGTAGCTGTTTACCCCATATTTCTCCTCCCCTCTCCGCCTTAACTTCCTCCTTGTTTTGAATAAACTTTATTGACTACAATTTACCCACCACCTTCACTGGGCTTCTCACGGTGACTTTACGGGGCGTTTTCCTTGAACCCTGTCGCCAATTCACCTCATTCCTCCTTGGTTTGCTCGCTGTTATCTTCTGCTGACCCAGCGGCGACAACACCGCTTACCCGTTTGCGGGGCTACTGCCGGACTAGGCCGGAGCCGCGGTCTCCAGTAGGCCCTAACGACCGGGTCGAGGGAGGGCTGCCCTGAAGCGTTGCCCAAAGGTCTGGGCACCGCGACCCAGCGGGTGGCTCGAAAGGAAGGTGAGCAAGGTTCGCAGCCTTTCTGAGACCGTCCCAGAATTCGGCGCGCGCCGCCCGTGGGGCCGGAACTGCCGGCTGCGCCTTCGCTGAGCTAGAAGGCAAGCTGCTCTGAAGCTCTTTTGGCCGCAGGCATGTTGGTGGGAGTGAGTTCTGCGGGCGTTAGGAGTCCCTGCAGTTTTGGGCTTGAGGAGGTTCTTGTAGGGTTCGGGATCTAAGACATTGTTGTGAGGTTTGGAGCTTGAGCAGGTTCCTGTCAGTTTGGGAGACGTGAAGATATATTCTCGTAAGTTTTGGGGGCTGCAAGGAGATTCCTGTCATCTTAATGGATGAAATCTCTTGTCAGGTTTGGGTAACAGGGGGAATCCTTGCTATTTTGGGAGGGACTGTAAGGGAACGTCGACCAGTGGGGGGGAAAAAAATCTTTCTTTAGTTTCAGGAGTGTGAGGAAATTCTAGTCCGTTCCAGGGGTTTTTGAAGAGAGGGTGTCATCTTTGAAGTAGAGGACGGTTTGATCAGTTTTAAAATTGAGATTCATTTCAGTTTCGGGGGATGACGAGACTCCTGACTAGTCACGAAGGAGTGATTTGGGGATTGAAGGAAAGAATCATTTAAACTCTCAGAACACGGCCCCAAACTGTGATTTGACTTGGGCGCTTAGTCTTGTCGGTCTTGTTCCTGACGGTGTAATTTTCAAGTAATCCTTACAGACTTTCAGATGTCCCTAATTTCTGTCTAGTTGCCCCTACTTTGGAGGTGAGGGAAGACTTTTTTTGCTTTGGTACCCCCAGCCTCATTCTTAGGTTATGATTTGCGTCATAATAAGGGGGGGCTCTGGGAAACATGGGAGAGAGCAAGTAGAGATTCAGTAAGGGATTGAAGAAGCTTCCCCAAAAGGCTTCAGCTATTTCCCCTGAAACCCGGAAAGAACTTATTACTGACTCTATGGGCTAAAGAAGGGGCAGGGGGGAGGGGAGCCTCAAATGCAGAGCGCCATCCTTTATTTGTTAAAGAAATTCTGGAAGGCCGGGCGGACTCTTATTGCCCCCTACAGCCAATCCAGTTGTGTTGCATCTTGGCAGCCGTAACTCCCCATTTGTGAATTGAGTCTTGGTACCCTAGGGGACGTGCTTCCCTCTATAAAAAGTGTTATTTATGCCCAGCCATCACCCGGAAAGGACGCGTGCTGCCACCTTCCACACCTCTTGACACCACGAACCTGGCGCGCCGCAGAACGCCCGAAGACCTGGCGAAGATGGCCTCTGTGCCAGTGTATTGCCTCTGTCGGCTGCCTTATGATGTGACCCGTTTCATGATTGAGTGTGACATGTGCCAGGATTGGTTTCACGGCAGGTAAGGATGGCAAGCCATGCTGTTGTAAACAGTGCAGTGGCCAGTTGCTCACTGCTCTCTCCTTTTCTTGCTCTGTTTTGGGTTCCCCCTCAAACTTTTTTTCCTTCTGTCACCAAGAATTAACTTGAACCCACCTCACAGACCCCGGCTCTTCCATCTCTCTTTGGAAGGGCCTAGCTGACATTGACCTCTGCTTTCTCCACTTTCTCTCCTTTCCCCTATGTATTTCTTCTTTTCACCCTTCTTTATAATATTTTTTAAAAATTATAATTCCATTACTTTTCATCCCCAAAGACAGTATCAATTTTTATGTTGTGGCTATTTTGTTTTGCCTTGGACCCTGACTGGAGGAGACTGTATTTCATTTTTGAGATAGTCAAGCCCAACACAGATGTCTTGGCTTTGCAACTTTGTATTAGCGTGACCTTGGACAAGTTGCTTTGCTGTCTGAGCCTCATTGTCTTCATCTATAAAGTATAAGAAATACTTTCTGATTTTGCATTCACTCAATAAATGAGGGCAGAAGTATTTTGTTTTTACAGTATTTGTCTGTAGAACGATCCAATAAATCTGAATTAGTATGAGTAGGAGAGATAGGGGTAAAACAGCAGGAGTAAAACTACTAATGAATTCCCTCCACTTTACCATATGTGCACAAAAACACCTGTCACCTAAGATTCCAGAGAGGTTAGTGTATGGGATAATACTGTAGTATCCCATTTTTGGGATTCATCCCAACTATAGAAAGACAACCACGAGAGGGGTTTGTACAGCATAGTACAATAAAACAGTATAAGGTGCCCTCTTCCTATTGCATGTTCGATTCTAGACTTTTCTATTGTCATTAGTACCTTCCAAAGGAACTTTTTCTATTACCGCGTCCAAGACCAAATTGAAGGTAGTTGTTGTTGTTGTCAAGTGCCATCGAGTCGATTCCGACCCTTAGCCACCCTGTATAGGGTTTCCAAGTAGCAGCTGGTGAGCTTGAACCACCTACCTTGCAGTTCAAACGGCTTTGCAGTCTAGCGCATTAACCCACAGCGCCACACCAGGACTCCTTGAAGGTAGTGGTGCTGCTAAAATTCTGCTCTCAGCAGGGACTACTCTATGCTGTTTATCCGTAAGAGTCAAATTCATATTGAACTAATCTTTATTGAGTATTTACTGTGTTCCAGGTGCAAAGTTATATTTACTGCCTCATGTTATTTCATTTAAGAGGGAGCAGACCTAGAGAGGGAGGATGAGGATTAAGATGTTTTTCAGGATTCTTGATATCCTTTCTAGTGCTGATAAACATCACTAGGAGTGACTTAAAATTCTTCTTCCAGTGTTTCCCTACAGGAGAAAATCCAGTCTCCTGTGTGTGACAGAAGAAACCTTTTGTGATCTACTTGTTTAGTCTCATTTCCTGCTATTTCTCCTCCTGTGTTATTTATGTCCCAGCAAGATTGAACTACTTTATATTCTTACGCCTTTTTATTCTTTCCCATGCAGTTTCCACTAACATCCTCCCTTTTACAGCTCATGGAATACCCTTTTTCTGTAAAAGGCCTCCTTTGGGTTCCCATTGCACTTTGTATTGCATCCTTATTAAGATAATTATTTCATCAAATTGTAGTTATAAGTATGTCTATGATACTCATTACCAGAGCTCCCTGAAGGCAGAGATGTCATCTTTTCATTTTTGGTATCCCCAGAAAGTAGTTCAATGCCAAACATAGTACATTTTGAGTGAATGAATGAATCTTCATGAAAAAGGCTGTAGCTCTTGCTTTGAATTGTTTGGAATGTGTGTAGTTTCAGACCTGGGAAATGGGCTCCTACCCATGATATGTTGTTGTGAAGTGCCTTTGAGTCAGTTACAACTCATAGAGACTGTATATAGCATTTTCTAGGAGTTGGCTGATGGATTTGGACTGCTGACCTCGTGGTTAGCAGTACGATGCTTGTCTTACAGCGCCACACCAGAATATGTTATTGTTAAGTGCTGTCGAGTTGGTTCGAATTCATAGCAACCCTGTATAGGGTTTCTTAGGTGTGGCGTGAGTTTGAACCACTGACCTTGTGGTTCAAGCCAACCTTGCAGTCCAGTGCTATTTTCCCACAGCACCACACCAGGATATGTTGTTGTTAAGTGCTTTCGAGTTGGTTCCGACTCATAGTGTTTTCAAGGAGCAGCTGGTGAATTTGAAGTGCTAACCTTGCGTTTCAAATTGACCTTATGTGCATTATCCGATAGCGCCATACCAGAGAGGTTAATTACACAGCCTGGGAACAGGGAACTGAAAGGAAATGCTTCTTGAGTACTTATTGTGTGCTATACCCCATGCCAGAAAGTTTGCATAAATTATCTCATTTAATTCATACCCAGACTTGAAAACTAGGTATTATTCTTTAAATAAGGTTTTAAAAGTTTTTTCGTGATTATATATAGGTGAAGCATTCTCATAAAAGACACAGAAAAAAAATAGAGAAAATAAAAATCACCTGAGCCTACTGTTCAGATTTTTTTTGTTGTTGTATTAACATTTATTTAAGGAGCCCTGGTAGGAACTGGTAGTGTAGTGGTTACGAGTTGGGCTGCTAACCTCAAGGTCAGCAGTTCGAAACTACCAGCTGTTCCACGGGAGAAAGATGAGGCTTTCTGCTCCCGTAAAGATTTACAGCCACGGAAATCCTATATGGGGTCTCTATGGGTCAGAACCGACTCCATGGCACATACCACCACCACTGCCAAGGAGCCCTGGTAAGTGTATTGGTTACGAGTCGGGCTGCTAACCTCAAGGCCAGCAGTTCAAAACTACCAGCCGTTCCACGGGAAAAAGATAAGGCTTTCTGCTTCTGTCAGATACACAGCCTCGGAAACCCTATCTAGGGTTGTTATAAGTTAGAACTGACTCCACAGCACACAACCACCACCAAGGAGCCCTGGTAGCGAAGTGGGTTATGGAATTGGGCTGCTAACCACAAGATCAGCAATTTGAATCTACTAGCCGCTCTGTGGGAGAAAGGAGGCTTTCTGCTCCTGTAAGGATTTACAACCTTGGAAACCCTATACAGGGTCACTATGAGTTGGAACTGACTCGATGGCACACAACCACCACCACCAGCACTTATCTGCTCTGAATTGTGGCACTGAGGGTTAAATGTTGGATTGCTAACCACAGTGTCAGGGGTTCAAAGCCAGCAGCCTCTCTGGAGAAAAATGCTGTCTGCTCCAATAAAGATTTATAGTCTTAGCTATAGCATTGCTGTCAGTCAGAATCCACTCAATGGCAAGGGATTTGGTTTGGTTACTTTAAATATAAACATATACTTTTACAAAATGGGATTCTATTATAAATAGCATTTTTTTTTTTTTTTTGAGGGTGGAGAAGAAACTGTTTCAAGGTCTTCAAACAACCAGGATGACCTGGTAGCAGTGGTTTATCTGTTGCTCTTTTTCAGTGTGTTTAATGAATAACAGCATTCCTTCTTACATCTTTTTTTTAACATTTATGGTATTTTATAGCATAGTCTTTTCCCTTTTTTGGCATTATCAGGTGGCTAATTGAATGCATTACTAATTTCAAAATTACAGACATGATGCAATAAATAGCAATTATTTTATAATACTTAGGAGAGATGACATTTTGAAGGCTACCTGTATACCAGATGTGGGGAACCTTTTTCTGCCAAAATTTATAACGTCATTCACAGTACATGCAAAACTATAAATTTACAAATTAGCCTTCTATATTCCATTTAATTTTGTTGTTTTTAAGTGCCATGGAGTCAGTTCCAGCCCACAGCCACCCTGCACAGGGTCTTCAAGGAGTGACCTGCGAGTTTCTAAGGCCGATCCCATGGTCCAAACCGATCCTGAGTCCCAGCACCCTTCCCACGGCGCCACACCAGGACTCCATTCCATTTTACTTGTTGTTGTTAAGTGCCGTCGAGTCAATTCTGACCATAGTGACCCAAGGAGCAGCTGGTGAGCTTGAACCACCGACATTGTAATTCAAACGACTTTGCAGTCTGATGCATTAGCCCACAGCGCCACACCAGGACTCCTAACTCACCCCTAATGTGATGGCTGGAGTCCTGGTGTGGCACCACAGGTCAAGCACTCAACCGCAAGCTTGGCCTGAAGCACAAGATCGGCGGTTCACACTCACCAGTCGCTGCCTGGAAACCCCCCCACACAGGATCACCATGAGTCGGAACTGACTTGGCATCCAACAGCAACATAATGGCTGGAACTGTGGTTTCTTGGCAGGGCTAGACCAAGTGATTTCGCGGGCTTTGTGTGGTCCGAGGGCCAGAGGTTCCCCAGACCTGCTGTAAACTGATGAAAAGGAATATAAATAGCATTTTGCAACCAATCTTTTTTTCCTACTGAACATTATTATAATGTATTTTACCATGTTAACTATTCTGATTTCTGATATGTATGTGTTACTTGGTCATTTCTTCTATGGCTGGACACTTAGGTTATTTGTACTTTTTATGTTGTAAATAATACTGCGATGTAAGGCAAATTTTAAGAGTACTGGAAATGTTTTGTATGTTGCTATGGGTGCAGGTTAAAAGAAAAAAGAAAAAAAATTATTGTGAACATTTTGTATAGTACACAGTTGATATTTGTAAGAAACACCCTAAGGCCTTTAAGAATTCCAAATTTATAATATGGAAATGGGTATATGGGCCAAGTCTCTCCTTTATCTATCACATTTCTACGGTGAGTCCTGTGTTTCAGAGCACATTGTGATGCAAAATCACTGCCTTAATTTTTTTTCCATGAAAGAAACTAAGTTTCTGTGGTTTTTCTCTATGGGCTGCCATAGAACAAGGAAGCCAGATGAGGATCAGTTCCTTGCTGGGCGACTGACTGTTGTTGCTTACTCAGTGCACTGTATGTCCATGTGCTCACTCGTGCTTGGTCATAGTATTCCATTTAAGTTTGTACTTTAGTGCAATTGAAAATTACAAAATTTTGTGGACTCCATGGTTGCTCATAA